ATTATAAAATCTAATAAAAGGAACGCATTGTTTAAGGTATATTGAAATCATATTTTGAAAAGCTTTTAGGATCAGAAGGAAGCTATGCAAATCCCATTTAATCAAACTTGAATTTCGATCATTTGATGATTATCATTCTGAATTACCATAACTAATAGTTTTCTGAAATTGAAGTGAAACGTGATGAATTAAATAACTAATTTAGTTCTTTGAAAATAATTAGCATTAGTTGATAAATTTCTTCGCAAATAATGGGAATGATAATTTAAGATAAATATATGAGCACAAAATATTTTTTTCAAGGTCATTACCAACTTCAACTGTAATATCATAATATTCGCCATCATTTAAAATTTTATGATAATTTTGACAAAAGTTTATTATCAATTATTATAATTTTTTAAGTAAGATAAATGAGAATGTGAATTCTTGAAAAAAAAAACCTAAATTATAAATCACTTTTAATGAATGTATAGGTTTTGTACATCATGTTCAGATTAACTAATTTTGGTACATTCAGCATTCAATAAGTATACGAAGTATTTGTCCTCATCAATAGTCCAAATGACCGAATCATCGAACTAATAAAAGGATTAGAGGAAGACTGTATTGCTATGGTAATATATCACAAGATATACCATTGATTACCTGTTAAGCCGCATCTTATGTTTGAATTTTTAAAATTAAGTTCTTTTCGTTCTTATCTCTATTAAAAAATTACAATGATTTATAATAAAATTTTACCAAAATTATCAAAAAATTTATTTGAAATTTTAAATGATGAAGAATATTATGATATTACCATTGAAGTTGATAATGACTCTGATGTAATAATATTTTGCTCCCACATGATTATTTTAAATTCGTTCTCCTTATTCGAAAAGAATTTTTATTAACTATTAAAAATAATAATAATAATGAAATTTTAACACAAATATTTTATAAGTAAATCATATATATGAACTGACAATATTATTGTTACCATTTCTAATAAATGCGTTTCTAATTTTATTGTTACTACTTTATTTTAGGTATATCTATGGAGGAAGATTTTCGTTGGAAGAATATGATTCTTCAGATATTTTTTTAAAATTTGAGACAAATTTGCCCGCATTACCATTCAAGTAATTTTCCTGATATCATACTCGCATTTCAGGTGACCATTTATTATATGTTTTCGCTTTTCTCCTGGGTCATCAGGTAAAATAGAGATCGGTTGTTAGATGATATTACCTGAATGGAAGAATGTACTTACTTTAGCTTTTAGCTTTGGATGTATTTTCTGGACTTCCCACTTGAAGAATTAGAGTCAGAAGATTCAGCCACGTGCGTGTTACTTTTCTCTTGTAGAAGACTTAGAGAAGAAATTTACAGTCCTGAACTTGAGCATTATTCAGACTTGAGATTGCACTTGCACTACAGCTAACTGCTTGAATCTTATCTATTTCTTATTGATCAATTAGCATCATGCTTTACAATAAAAAATGCCAAAGTATGAAATCATGACCCAAGGTCACGATTGATCTATATTGTTACATGTTCAAGGAAAATTTATCAAACTAACTTTGAAATAAATGATTGGGTAGTAAATGTTATCCACTGATTTTTACCATATTATTAGATATATGTCATGCTTATTATTGCTTAATAGTTTTATTTTTTCAATTTACACCTACTTGCATATGTTAATTTCAGATTTCATTACCAGAGATTAGCTTAAATATATTAATAAATGATTTATCATATAGAATGAATAAAGCATTAAAACCTATCTCTAAAAAAATAACTAATTAAAAGATTGAGCATTAGTTAATTTGCAAGCAGAACCCTCTAAGCAATATTATTTTAGTAGATATAATGTTGAAACTCTATATCTGTTTCCCAAAAATATATTTCCATCAACTCTAATTGGACTGTGGTCTGTAATATTGACTTGAAGCCAGCATCACCAGCCACAAGTACTATTGTAGCAGGCACCTTATTGTAGAGAACTTCGTCCATATAGTGTCCAATCGGCATGTTGACCATTTTTTTGAAACCTTTAGCATTACTAGGAAATGTTGTAACCTTCCTTTCGAACAAGATTTCATATGGAATCGGTTGGTGAGATCGATCCAACTACAATTGGATCTTCTCCAGGTTACGATCATTCTTTAAATAATCGATTCAGAGTTGGTTAAAACACAACTGTCTTCTTTTAGAATCAAAACTACCAATTTTTAATATTCTCCAACTACAAATTTTCCTTTGATATACAGGTTTGAGTCATTAACAAAAATATACAGATTGTCTTGGAATCCAATTAAAGTCCTTACTATAGGAAAAGACCAGTTCCCTATATTAAAATTGTAGCGCAATGCAAATGAGGATAAAGGTCTATGTCAAAACGTGTTGACCAAAATTATTACTACTCACTTACCAGCATTGGGTTGCTCTACAATAATGTGAATGTGTTTTTTGGCGGCTTGACGATGAGAAAAAGCACAAGATTAAGTAAGTATTCGGTATTATCGACAAATATAAAAGTGCATGTAAGAAAGTTTGCTTAAGCTCTGGGAGGTATCTCATATGCTTTAAGGCCATCGGGCATTAAGTCAAGAAAAACTTCACCTTTGACTTCTTGAGCTGTTAAGGTATCTATGTGATTATCAATGTTGTTTAGTCTCCCTTTCAATTATATCCTTTCGCTTTCTCAATTGTAGATGAAGGAATAACAGGTCAACCACTTGCAATGTTAGTCGACATAGCTTTTGCGTATGAAAAGTGTGAGAAAAAATTTTTTGGGGTTATTGGATATATATGAGAAATCAATTGTCACCAACCCATCAGTTTGATCAGATATCTCTTAGAATAATATCATTTAGATATCTCAATACGCAATATAAAAAACAAAATTTATTTGAGAGGTTTAAATTTACTCGATTGTACATTGCTTGAGATATCCAAAAAAAAAGTTCTATGTAAAATAATTGCCGAAATGTGCTATACTCTAAAGTAAGAAAAAAGGATATAACGTTAAATAACGTTCAGTAATAGTCAATAAATTAATTAAATTAATTCCAAATCTTAATCCCCTCTCATTTCTAAAAAAACGATCAAGCTTTTTAATATTTACTGATTTACTTTAATTAAACTTCTTCCAATATGAATATATAGAAAGTAAGTAACAGAAATTGGCAAAGTAAGTAACGTAAAGTCACATGATCTATTATGTTACTTCTCTTATATAAGGTACGGAACGTAAATTTTTTTGGTAAATACTTTACGTTACTCCTTATATTTGCCACATGATCGCGTCATGTTTATTTGTTTATCGAATCTTGTTTTCAGTATAGGTTCATTTCCTCAGTTCCTTCCGGTTCTGCAATTAAGGTTCAGTTGTTTAGTTGTTTTTCACTTTACGTTTCGTTTCTTACTCATTTTTATTATTTTTTATTTTGTTTCTGTTTCATATTTCGTTTTCACTAATTTTATTTCATTTTTTTTTTAGATATTTTAGTTCTTTCAGTTCTAAAATTAATAAAGGTATGTTTTTTTTATTTTTTATTTATTTTTTTTTATTTCGTTTTATCTTATCTGTTATATTTCGTTTCTTACTAACTTCTTTTTTTTATTTTTTGTCTCTGATCATTTTTCACCTCATATTACTTCTCATTATTCGTCTCCCATTATTTCTATTACATCTTTTCATTTTCCATTATTTCTCTTTCTCTCCTGTTAACTTCCCATCATTTCTTTTTGTCTCTCATCAGTTCTTTTCATCTCTCATCACTCCTTTTTATCTTCCATCACTCCTCTTTGTCTCATATTACTCCTTTTTGTCTCCTATCACTTCTCTTCATTTTCCATCACTTCTTTTCGTCTCCCATCACTCCTCTTCGTCTTCCATCATTCCTTTTCGTCTCCTATCACTTCTCTTCATCTTCCCATCACTTCTTTTCGTCTCCCATCACTCTCTTTCATCATCCATCATATCCTATTTCTCCTTTTTGTTTCTATCACTTCTCATTACTCTATTTTACTCCCTTTCTTCTTCTATTACTTTCCATTACTCCATCGTTATTTCATTTTTTTTATTAACATCTTTCTCCTTGATCATTGTAATTTATTTATCTTTTTTATTTATTGTTATTGTTTTTTTTTATTTTCAATTCATTAAAAATAAATACAGTAATTTTTTTCTTTAAAATCGAAAATGTGGGACTTAAATTTTAATATTTGCAAATAAAATTTCATTAAATAAGATTATTTTGAAATTTGAATAAATATGTTTGCAAAAAATATTTTTAAAAATATCTTCGCAATAAAATTTTAAGTTTAGCCGATCAAAAATTAGCTAAGTTAAAAAAATCAGCCATCAGCCGATTAATGAATTTACTTTATATATTGCACATCATGTGACATATTTCAGATTAGGTATCCGGATCATGATGCCGATCTTTTTGCTCATATCTGGCACGTTACGTCATTTATTGCCGGATATTATTTTATTTTTAATTCATGAAAATGAGAAAAGGACAAACTAACTATTAAACTATTTAACCAACAAATAAACTATAAATAAGTTCTCATATGTGTAAGTGTAACATACGGATATGAAAAAATCATGATCATTAAGGCAAGGATATAACCATTATTCAATATTGCGGTCAATATTTTTAATGATTGTTGTCATGTGCCACTGCGTGGCACAATGACAGCCAATCATTCAACATTGACCTCCATATTGAATACTACGTGCCTAATAATATATTAATATGAGGGGAGCAACGTAAATTGACCCAAAATAGTAATTTTACGTTACTTACCTAGCCAATTTCCGTTTCTTACTTGCCTACCTACCGTTCCAGTATAGAGTTTCTAAAATCTTAACAGGTTAATATATACAGTAAGTTTTGCGTTTATAGCAAATATTCATAAGTTGCGGAACACTTGGCCAAATTGACGTTGAGAATTTGCGAGTATGCAATGCAGAACCCTTGCACCCTTGCATATGAACATAAATTTATTATCACGTGGCTATAACTTTGGTGATGATAACGTTTTAGCCACATTTATGATTTTCATGTGCCTATTAAATAAAGTATTAAACTAGTGTATTTTTGGATTTTTTCTTTTTCTCATTTTCTCATTTTTCATTTTAAAAATTGTAATGGTTGATAATAAACTTTTGCCAAAATTATCACAAAATTTACTCGAAACTTTAGACGATGAAGAATATTATGATGTTACAATTGAAGTTGGAAAAGACCCTGACGTAAAAACATTTCGTGCTCATAGGGTTATTTTAAATTATCGTTCACCATATTTGCGAAGAATTTTATCAACCAATAAAAAGAAAAATGACGGGTTTGTGACACATATTAGTTTACCAAATATTTCACCAGAAATTTTTCAAATAGTATTAAGGTAGTAAAAAAAATGGTAATTTGAAATTTATGTATTTTTAGTAAATAATTTCTAATATTGCCATCATTCTTACTCAGATATATCTACGGAGGAATAATTCCATTGGAAGAATATAATATATTAGATATTGTTAAAATTTTTGTTGCTGTTAATGAGCTTAGTCTTCAAGAATTAATCCCTTATTTAGAAACCTTCTTGCTTGAAAATGCAGCAAATTGGGTGGAAAAACATTTTGATTTAATATATCAAATAAGCTATGAAAATGATTCTTTCTCAAAAATTCAAAAATATTGTATCGATTTAATTTCCAAAGAGCCAAATAAAATATTTAATTCACCAAAGTTCTCTTCAATTTCAGAAAAGCTATTAATCGCTACCATCCAAAATAAGAATCTTAGAATAAACGAAATTCAAATTTGGGAGCATGTGATAAAATGGGGACTTGCACAAAATCCAGAACTTCCTCCCGATTATACAAGCTTTTCAAAAGTTGATTTTGATACCTTAAAAAATACCTTACAAAAATGTATTCCTTGTATTGGATTCCAAAATTTAACTTCGAGAGAATTTTTGCACAATATATTTCCTTATAGGGAAATTCTGCCCAAAGGATTATACATAGATTTATTAAAAATCTTTTTGAATAGTGATTATAGACCGTCTAAAAAATTAAACTCAAAAAGAGTTGATTCAGAGATTATTTCAAATCAACATGTTGAATTAATTTCGAAATGGATTCATAAGTTAGAAATTACAGACAAGCTAACAAATTCATATGAATTTAAGTTGTTATACCGCAATTCTCGTGATGGATCAACTGAAGCGAATAATAGATTTAAAAATTTCCGTAAAATTTGTCATAATCAAACTCGCACTATAACTATTGTTAAAGTGGAAAATAGTAACGAAATTCTTGGAGGATATAACCCAATTGAATGGAATTCTAATAGTAGTCATTTGACAACTAAAGACAGTTTTATATTCTCTTTTATTAATAATGATATCGAAAATTTTATTTTAAGTCGTGTAATTGATGAAGAGCACGCTATATATAATAGATCACTTATAAGCAGTGTGGGACCATCATTTGGTGGTGGCGACCTGCATATATATCAACATACTTTATACGGCGATTTGAGAGTTCAATGTGAAAAAAGGCATTATAATAACCAAATTAGGAAGATCAATATTTCACTTCTCTCAGAGTTTGAAGTATTTCAAATTGTCTAAGGTTTATGATTAGATTGTAACTTTGTTCCATTTAGAAATAATTTGTTAGTCTAAACCTTTTATTTTTATTTTTATTTTTTTTTTTTGTTAATGTTATATATTACAAATCAACATAAATGATGATAGTGCTGTATTAGCTTTCACGAGCTTTGATATAAAAATATGTTTGAGAATTGAATAAAACTTAATCAAAATAATAAAAAATTATAATTTGTAAATATTACAAACAATTCATCATAATATTTTAAATTGTACGGACGACCTACGTCTCCAAAACTATGAGAGGAAGTTTGTTCTAAAATTATAGCAATTACACAATTATTTCTTATGTAGTGTAATTATCAATTATTAAATATTTTCATCAAATGAAAATGAAAAATATAGGTCATTGTAGTATCGTCTACCTAATATCAAAAAATCGTGAAGTCATAAATTTTGTCAATTTAAAATGATTAAAGATTCTTACATATCGTTACCGGCTTTTTTCAAAACATTAGTGTCGTAAAACTAAAATGTGTTTTATGGAGATTCACGTGAGTACAGAGTTATAACAGCTCTAAAAATCTGAATAGGTTATTATACAGTATGCGTCCCTTTGATAGATAATTACTAGATTAATAAATAATTAATATTGCGACTTTATGAACTGACATAATCACCCCATCGCTAATAAAAAAAAATTACCATTTCAAATTTGGAGAAATTTCAAGCAAAAATATCCTAAATATCCTTTAACCATCACAAATTTAACATCATACCTAAACGCTATTTATTATAAACCATTAAATTCATCGAATAAATCATACGTGATTTATTATTATTTTTTTTTTATTAAAAAAAAAAAGGAAAAACAATAGCGATAAAAGTATAAAAGTAAACCCGGCCAGTGCTATTCAAGAATTTGAGTGTGACATTAATAGAGTGACAAATAGGATTTGTCTCTCAGATAAATAAACATGGTGGTAGTGAAGCATGTGGTAAATAAAAAAATAGATCACATGATCGAAGAAATATTGTGGCTACGTTAATTTGTGTCCAAATGATTTTCATGTACCTATTAAATAAAGTTTAAAACTAGTATATTTTAGATTTTTTCTTTTTTTCTCATTTTCTCAATTTTTATTTAAAAATTGTAATGGTTGATAATAAACTTCTGCCAAAATTATCTCAAAATTTACTCGAAACTTTAGGCGATGAAGAATATTATGATATTACAATTGAAGTTGGAAAAGACCCTGACGTAAAAATATTTCGTGCTCATAGGGTTATTTTAAATTATCGTTCGTCATATTTACGAAGAGTCTTATCAACCAATAAAAAGAAAAATGACGGCATTTTGACACATATCAGTTTACCAAATATTTTACCAGAAATTTTTCAAATAATATTAAGGTAATAAAAATATTTATTCAAAACTTCAATGTGTTTTTAATAAATAATACTTCGATGTGTTTTAATAAATAATTTCTAACATTATTTTTACTTACTAGATATATCTATGGGGGAATAATTCCATTGGAAGAATATGATATTTTGAATATTGTTAAAATTTTGATTGCTGCTAATGAGCTTAGCCTTCAAGAATTAATACCTTATTTAGAAACCTTCTTGCTTGAAAATAAAGAAAATTGGGTGGAACAAAATTTTGATTTAATATATCAAATAAGCTATGAAAATGATTCTTTCTTAGAACTTCGAAGATATTGTATTGATATAATTTCCAAAAAGCCAAATAAATTATTTAATTCGCCAAATTTTTCTTCAATTCAAGAAGAACTATTAATTGCGACCATTCAAAATAATAATCTTCAAATGAGCGAAATTCAAATTTGGGAACATATGATTAAATGGGGACTTGCTCAACATCCGGAACTTTCATCTGATCTTACAAGCTTTTCAAAAGATAATTTTGATATCCTAAAGAATACTTTACAACAATGTATTCCTTATATCAAATTCCATAATTTAAGTTCAAAGGAATTTTTGCATAATATATTTCCCTATAGAGAAATTCTACCCAAGAAATTATTCATGGAACTATTAGAATTTTTTTTGAATAGTGATTACAGACCTTCTGAAAAATTTAGTTCAGAAAGCGTTGATTCAGTTTTTATTTCAAATCAACATGCCGAAATAATCTCAAAATGGATTAATAAATTAGAAATTACAGACGAGTTACCAAGTTCGTGCGAATTCAAATTATTATATCGTGATTCTCGTGATAGGTCTAGTGAATTGAATTGTAAATTTAACAAATTCCGAGAAATTTGTAAAAATCAATCTCACACCATAACAGTTATTAAAGCGAAGGATAGTAACAAAATTCTCGGAGGATATAATCCGATTGAATGGAAGTTTGATGATCACTATGGAAATACTAAGGATAGTTTTATATTCTCCTTTAGTAATAATAGTATCGAGAACTACATTTTAAGTCATGTAAAGGATAAAGAGAAAGCTATATATAGTGGGACATACAGTGTTAGTATAGCATTTGATTTTGACTTACAATTATACAGTGATGCTTCTGACCAATTAAGAGTTAGTTGTGAGAAAAGTTCTTATGAAAAACACATCGGAGAAATCAATGATTTATATATAGAAGAATTTGAAGTATTTCAAATTGTGTAAGATTTATATTAAATCCAAAAATTATATTATTTCATATTATTTGTAGCGATAATTTGCCTTTATATCATAATGGTTTATTTCATCCATATTTTATTTACTCTTTTCTGGATCTTTTATTTTCATAAAATATGTTAAACATTTCACTGATAGATGGCGTTTATATATTTAATATATTAAATTTATGTAATATTTTTGTAATATCAATGGGCATATAGACGGAATAGCTTTATGATATTTCTAATATATTCCAAATTACCAACGATTTACGATTTAGCAAATATTTTTGTAATATAAATAACATATTTTTGGAATATTTCTATTATATACTGAAATACTACTAATAAAATATATATATTATAGATATATGCAAAAAATATAGACTGTTACATTTGTATGTATTTCTTAATTTGTATATTTTGCAATGCTTAGTATTTGATGCAATTAAAGTTTGTTTTGAAACCTTTCGCTATTTATGTTAAATTAGTCATTACGTGCGATTAATATTAAACTCTGCATTCAATAAAATTTTAAACTATCGTAATTTTTCCCCCTTTTGAAATTTAAACTTTATCGAAACATTTCCCCTTTTAGAATTTTAAACTTTTAATTATTCTTGGTATTGATGAATGAAAAGAAAGGACTTATAAAATGTTTTTCTTTGTGCGATTCGACGGGTGGTGAAACAAATTGGCAAAAAAGAAGAAAATTAAATTCGAAACTTAAAAAAAAAAAATATAAATTCAATTCTATGAAACTAATGACGTGAAAGGGATCATCAAACTTTTCCCCTTTCCTTCGTACTTTCTCCTTTTCCCTAGTCCTTATGCCCGTATATACAATTTCCTTTAACAGATAATTCCCTATCCATCGCTAATGAAAAAAAAATTTACCACTTCAAATTTTTTTTCACCCGCGATAATTTAATTTCTTTCATTATTCACGCTTTGGAGAAAGTTTGCATTATAAATCATTTTCATTAGAAATCAAAAATAACTTAACCATCACAAATTTAACATCATACTTAAACACTATTATAAACCATTAAATTCATCGAATAAGTTATACGTGATTTATTTTTATTTAAAAAAAAAAGAAAAAGCAATAGTGATAAAAGTATAAAGTAAACTCGACAAGTGCTATTCACTGGCACGTATTGAAGAATTTTGGTGATGACATTAATAGAGTATTTCACCTGCTCGAAAAAAAACCAAGTTTCTCAGATAAATAAACGTGGTGGTTGTGAAACGTGGTAAATAAAAAAAAAAAAAAGATCACATGACCGAAGAAATTTTCTGATTAGTATGACAACGTTTTGTTACGTTAATTTGTGTCCAAATGATTTTCATGTGCTTATTAAATAAAGTTCAAAACTAGTATATTTTGGATTTTTTCTTTTTTTTGCCTTTTTTCTCATTTTCTCAATTTTTATTTAAAAATTGTGATGGTTGATAAT